CACCTTGTATAATGAAAGCTCTGTTGTTCTGGAAGATGATAAATGCATGCTAACTTATTCAAAATCCGTTCACGTATTTCGGTTGGGCTGAATGTAATTCTGCCTGTTCGCCGAGCTTGGCAATTTGTCTCCAAACGTTTTATCACCGGTCGAGGTGACAGCTTCAGTGCTTGTGGAGTGATCGTGCTAGTTTAACGGCGAGCTAGGTGAAAAACAACGGGAACAAGGAATGCAAGAGTCTCTAAAAAAAGAACCTACATAAGTGAACGGGCAAGAGTAGAATACCGCCACTTTTAAAGCACTGAAGATGGCATCGCGGCTGGTGATGAAACGTTCGCAAGCAAATTGCCAAACCCGGAGAACAGGCAAGAATAAATGATCGGGATACAGTTATTCTGAGATCTGAAGATAATTTCCTGTTTTTGGCTATGTCAAATACCATAGACAATCTCACTTGGACACGTTGTCGACGCGCACTTTCTCAGTATTACCACGCTCGGACTGACTATAAATAATATCAGACTACCAAGCAATTAACTATAGATTCATCTGAGCAGTGGCTAGCGGTAACTTACTCCTGCATGTCCCGACTTGGGTCATCACACAGTCGACGGAGACACTACAGAGGATTCGTAAGAAACCGGATCCAACAAATAGATGATGCTTCCACTGCTTTTCAGTGGCACATATGTGATTACATCATGAACCTCTTTCTAGGAACCGATTTTACGAGGGTTTCATAGTGACACATACTTACAGGATTAATCTGAATGTAAAAGAAGTATTGCAGAATTAAATGCCATTTTTACTCAGTTGCAAAAATTTAAGTAAGTTGGAAACTATGGATCATTCAAAGTTGATATCGATCTTACGGACTCGCAACCAGCGATGAATAAATGCAATGAGTAAATGCTTCGAAGTCAGTTCACACCAAACTGATTAGTACTGCATTACCGTGATTTTCAAGTGGTTATATTCCGAATGAATTGCTAAACACTATTTTAATCCTCGGAATTGACGGAAAATTGTCAAACGACAAGTCCGAATATACCGCTGATTTAATCAAAGTCATAATTTCTGTGCATCCTATCCAGTAAAGAATTATTATGGTACCAGAATAAATCACATGTTAAAGTCTGTCTTTTATTTCCAAAGACAATACCGTGTTTGAATAAACTCCACCGATTTCTTCCACCCACATTTACTTGGACCTACCCGGTGTGTCGAATTCTGACATCACGCGGATTCCACGGCTTCGGGCATGTTGGATTACGCGTAGCACATCTTCTCGTGTATAGATATAGGCAAACGGGTGGTATGCTCCCTGTGCAGCACACATGGAAAAGAACGTGAGGATAGAACCAGGGTATACTAAAAAAACGGGAGCATACCTTTAGAGTCAGATTTGGAAATGTGTGCGAGTAGTACGGGAACGAGGTGTCGTCCACAATGTGCCAGTGAAGAACATTCATTTTGACCATGGACATTGCATCCTGAGAAATTTGCGGGGAGGGGGTAAAACTTCGAGCGAGAACTGAAACTTACCAGGAAGTTCAAAATCAGTTCGGTTTGCAAATAATGTCTAGATGTATCTATCAGGTAGCCGCGATGCGCGAAACGTGGTTCATCCAGAATCAGCTGAGATTGAATTATTCGCTAAACAAGTAAAATGATTTTTTGGGGGAAGGGGGACAATGAGCGGTGAATAGCTGAAAACGCTTCCGGGAGTTAGTTGTAAGTAAACATTGAAAAACAAATGAATTAGTGAATGAAATATTTAATTTTCTCTTGTTAAAAATCCATTTTGTTCATGTAATCGACCGTCTTCTATCTTTATCCGATTGAGTACTCGACTGGAACGACAGATGAGAACTGCAGCAGCTTTTAAACATTTCCTTTGTAACAAAAATAATGATCGATACCACCAGCCTGAGATTAGAAAACTTTCATCAGGTACATCTGTTCGAGTTTTAAGGTAATTTCCTGTACGGGCCCAGCAGCGGACTCGAACTAATGACAGTTCATGCGTAGAAATTTTACGCTTAGAATCGCCGCCGTCACCGCGGTGGTCATTGCCCCGCACGGGCCCAACATCATATTAAAGCTTGTATGCATAAGTACAAACTGCCCTTCTTCTCTCAACGCTAGCCCAAGTTTGTGCTGATCCCACCCTCCTACTGTCGGTTCTAACGTTTTCGCCGGTCGGGTACATTCATTGCGACGGCACCTTTTCTCCTGATTGGGTTTACCAGCTAGACGTCCCATGGCGTTTCAACGATCCCGCCATCTCCGAGCAAGATGCACCTCAGGGATATATAACTCGAAATGGACCACCTCCTTCTGCACTCCGTAGGAAAGCCAGCTTCTGGGCTGACCTACTCCAGGCGAGGTCTCTCACTCATCAACGCCCAGAACCGCTTCATTCACCACGGCGACAAGAAATTGAGAACCGGACCCCTTTGAGCTGCAATCCAGCCTGAGCTTGTTCTCACCGGGCAAAACAAAGCCAGAGAGATCCGATGACCGGGGATCTGAATCGACTTACTGTGCCGATATCCGCGCTTAGGTACTCATCCTACCACGAAGCATCCGGGTCTCGCCATGGTGCCACCACCGCTGGCAGCAAGGAGTCCAATCGGCTCCATGCATTGTCGCTACTCTTGGCCGAGCGCACAGAACCTACCCGCAACGTACCGCGAGGAGGTGCCACCTAAACTCCGGGTCCGTGATGGCCAATGCCCCCTTCCAGCAAAGTGGAGCCCTGCTATGTCCCTCACAACTGAGCGGCAGCCGGACACGCCACGCAAAGCCAGCCCGACAGTTACGATGAAGCAGCATGCCTTAAACGACTCAGATGTAAGTTTCATAGCATTTCTGTCGTTTACGCGCGGAAAGCAAGTATTTTCTTTTTAAAGAAAATAATGATCGATACCATCAGTCTGAGATCAGAAAACTTTCATCAGGCACATCTGACTTCGGTCTCACCCTTCCTTATTACGCGGTGGGTGGTGGTGATCAAGCGTTCAATATCATCGTCATCGAATCCAACCAGTATTGTCTCACGTTATCTGTCTTCGTATCACATAGCAACCCGTTGGTTGGGCACTTTCCCTTTAGTGGAAGTTTACTGAGAGATTTATTCATTCCTTATAATAAAAGTAAAGAAGAGAAGAAAATAAAATATCGACCAACCCTAGGACCGAATGAGTTCATATTTCTAAGGTTTCCCCCTTTCCTCCAAATATTAAGTTACAAATACTTCTCTCCTTGAATATACGCAACTTCTCTGCTATCTGGCTTAATGCTACACTAGCTCAAATGAGGTAGTATTTGATCCTTCTCTCAAAATTGCAGGGTTTGGTTTACCATGAAAGAGTAGTAGGCCTATGTGATCATGGGAATCACACAGTTTGCTAGGATACAATGAAATAGAAGCTCGCACTTAATGATCATTGCTGTGAAGGCCGTTAGAAATCCTTGCCTCCGCTGTGTCTCACAGAAAGATTCTTTTCCCGTGCCGTCAGCAAACGTGCTCTCAATATGAGCAGAGAATGCAATAGATTTCGTTCTACACCATCCTTTTATTTGATTCTCATTTTCCTTCTTCTATCTTGATGAGTTCTTGTCTTCCAACCTGCCCATTATGTTTCCATCAAGACCCCTTTGTGACTGTGCTAAATATCAGTAAATTTACTCATCGGTCCATATGTATCCAAATAAAGTCCTTTGTTCACTTGCCTTTTGTCCTAATGAACAAAGGAATGTATGATTCAGGGTTAACGCGTCACCTATGATTGAAAACATCTTAGAAAATCTGTAAGATCGTGTCATACGTCTTAAGGATCATCATTAACGGAAATTCATGAAATCTACTGGGACTCGAACCCAGACACAAAGGGTCACTAGTCAAGCGAATCAATTGTACGAGCTCAGTAGGGTAACAGCCCGCAAATCACATCCGGTCAACGCTATATCGTTGACGTCCCGGATTTCAGTAAACAATGATCGACTTCCTGATACACGGCGTGTTAGCAGGGTCCTGATAAGACTAAGCCGAAAATGCGGTCCTATCATGTATGAATACGTCTATGTGGAACAGTTCAACTGTCGAGAGTCTTTCCATGATTGTATTTATTCGTCATTCCTGGATACAAGTAATGACTAATCGGTATTAATTATCTCTAAAATCCAATCGAACGTTTATCATTGAATTATAATTTTTCCGTGAACAGCTGCCATAGATTGTTTCCCACCACTACCGTTAAGTGATTCTGGTGTTTCTAAGATTTACATTACGGTTAATGCTACTTGTTCAGCGAGTGATTTACTCCGGTAAAAATGTATTGTTTTAAATTATTATCATTGCAGATGGGCATTTAGGCAAGATGAAAAACGGTCTGATCAGCTTCCCGCTGCTCAAGTATGCTGGTGTTGTGTCTGTGCGCTCCATGGTTCTATCCTCAATTGGGTCGATGAATTCGCACTGCTGATGACTCTCAATCAGATTGAAGCAGCTATACAGTGTGCATCCTAGCTTTCAGCTGAAACTCCGTTTGCTCCTTATGCGGCTAAATACACGACATAGTACTGTTGTGTTATACAGTATTTAACACTGACGTGATACTACTCGCGTTGTATTTGAGCAGAATGTTTGGTGCACAAAAAATAGAACAATCAGGGGTTTCTCGCGACATTTAATATCAAACATTACATCCTGGAATGGAATATTAATAATTTTAGCTACAAAACATAGTAATAGAATGTCGACCTAACTGACCACCGTTCCAGGGATTTCGGAAAAACTTGGCCACGTTATTTCAGAACACATACATGCTTTGTTCAATGTAAGCCGATTTAAGTCTCACTCCTGTCATTCTGAGCACAACAGTTCTTCGTCGTAGAAATTAGTTATCTGATTTAGGTAGCGTTTATTTGAATCATTCAAATCTGGGGATTTATATACAACAGTGATTTTAGTTTTGTCGTTAACCCTGACAATCGTTCTTCTAGCATTGCTATCATGGTAATCATTTGGAATGATTCGGCATTTTTCATCAGAGAATCCCACTTTAATCTAATGGTGCTCCTAATTTTGCGGATCCAAGCGTTTTAACTTAAAATTCCTCCCTGACTTGACATCAAAATTCAAAAGAGGTTACTTGGTCTTACCATTCGGAAGCGGTTCAGGAAAATCAGTTGCTGTACGGTTTCCAGTGCGTGCAGTATGCCCCATATTTGCTCGGCGACGATATTGATCACCCCGTGACTAACGTCCACAACATCTGATCGGGAATAAACATGGCAGAAGACAGAAACTGTGCCTGGGTGCTTCGATATGTGTTGGATTATTTCGATAAATTAGAACTTTATGACGAATGAGAATTACAGTATTACGGCGGTGCGCATGGAATGCACAACTTTTGTCAGACCAAAAGTACTCCGAAAAAATCGAGGGTATGGAAATGGCTCCACCACTTGGTTCCTTACTGCCAGACAGGTTTCTAGTCAAACTGAACTGCGAATGCGTTACAACAAGCTATCTTGGATGCACGTCAGATGCGTTGTTGATGCCTTTTTACTGTCTGGCTTCTGGGATAACCAGAAACTACTTCAGATATTCGATAACGCTCATCCGGTGGT